AAAAAAAAAAAAAAAAAAAAAAAAAAAAAAAAAAAACAACCAAAAAAAATTGCTTAAGCTTGTAGATCAAGAAAAACCACAGAAAAGCACATATAAAGGATGGTCTCATTTTGCATATTGTAAGGACAGTATTATTAGGACAGTATCTTAGTCACTTTCCTGTTGCTGGGACAAAATATCAGATACCCAAAACTGAAAGGAGAGGTTTACTCTGGCTGATTTTAGTCCATGGTCAGCTGGCTCCAAGGCACAAACAAGATGGCAGCCAGGAAGCATAGAGAGGAAGGGAGGAGCTGGGTTGAGAATCCACCCTTCCAAGACACCCCGGTGACCAAACCAGGCCCTACCACCCAGTAGCACATTCAGCTGCTGTTGAGTACAGCCCCTGCCGATCCAGTCACCTCCCACACACAGGAGGAGTTCAGGGGACATTTTAGATCTAAACCATAACACTGCTGTTAAACATCTGCAAAATTGACTGCAAGGAAATGTACTGAAATGTTAATAGCATTTTCCTAGATGTTGAGATTGTGGATAGTTTTTTTCCAGCTTTAATTTTTCTAGATTTGCCAGATTTTCTACAGTTTAGCATATAGTACTTTGGGGATCATTAAACAAACAGATTTGTGATGTAAACCACAATGCTGACCCATAGATATGAGGCCAGACCTTTGGAGTTGGCCCCACTTCATCCCACCCCTTGGCTTTTGTCCACCACAGCGACCGATTAGCGCTGCTCCAGGTCCGGGCCATCCTGCAGCAGCTGGGTCTGAACAGCACGTGTGACGACAGTATCCTTGTCAAGACCGTGTGCGGGGTGGTGTCCCGGCGGGCTGCGCAGTTGTGCGGTGCGGGCATGGCTGCCGTGGTGGACAAGATCCGGGAGAACCGAGGGCTGAACCATCTGAACGTGACTGTAGGGGTGGATGGGACGCTCTACAAGCTTCATCCGCAGTGAGTGGGGCTTCCGATTGGGATGGGCTTGCTGGGCTGGCGAATTCTTTGGGAGTTTCGGGCTGTGTGGTGTGGTTCCCCTAGGGAGATTCCTCAGGGAGTCTGGGGAAATTCCTGCGGGGACTGGGGCCTGTCTGGGACAACAAGCAGCCCTACAGTTTGTCTGGAATCCTTGAGGAGCGGAGAAGACTTCACCTGGCTGGCTCACCCTAAGGCACCACGGACTCTCCCTGCTTCTCCTGGGCCCCTCTGCAGTGGGTGGTGCTGGAGGACAGGAGGTGGGGATAGCGCGGACTTGCCGGCTGCAGCCACGTCTAGAGGCTGTGCTTCCTAAGTTTGGACAAGAAATAAAGAAGAGCGAAGGGGGACTGGGTGACTTGTTCACCTGCAGAATCAGCTTGTCCCTACTTGGAAGGGCAAGCACAGTGCTGGTCCTGGGTCCTGAGGCAGGGTATGGCCTCCTTTGGGTCAAGTGTCTATGCCCATGTCAGAGAAGGAAAGGTGACTTCACTGCATGACCCACAGCTTGATGTTATGAACAGAGTGACCATGCCTAACATGAGAATAGTTTTGCCAGGGAAGAAATGCTACAGATTATTATTCTGGGACCATGGGCAAACTGGGACCATCCCAGATAAACTGGGCCTACAGCTCCACAGAGCTTATGTCATGCCTGTGGCTGGGGTGGAGCCATGTTCATCCTCACTCCATCTCCATCTCCTTAGTCAGGGAGGAGATGGTCCCTGGTTTGGGCTAGACTTTGGAGCCAGGAACCCTTGGATTCAGTCCTGGTCCCATCATTTAGCAGTTGTAGGCAGTGTTTAATCTCTGTCATCTGCCTCATGGGTTAACAGCTCCTGCCAGAACTAGAAGTGGTGTATATGAAGTAGGGGGCACCTGGCAGGTGTTTAGTGAGGGGTGGCTCTGACTGCCGAGAGCCCCTGCCTGACCCTGTCCTTTTTAAATGCAGAAACAAGAATCACCTCTGACTTAGAGATGATCCCTTACTAGGAGGCTCCCTCTCAGCTGCAGGTGTGGGTGCCAGGCTGTGGGCAGTGCTCTGTGGCCTCAGGGCTGTAGCTGGGATGGGTGATGTCTGTTCCCATGTTGTCTCCTTACTGACCTCAGGTCCCTGGGAGCCCCGAGTGCTGAGGCGGAGGTGTCTCAGCCTTGCCTCATAAGTTGTGCAGTGCAGCTTGTCTTTGGGACCCTGGGTTAGGCCTCCCTCTTGGAAGCTGTGGTTAGGATTGGCCATGGAGCTTGACTGTTTTCAGGCAGGCCCAGCATTGCCTCTCAGCTTCCTGTACCAACCTTGTCTGCTTTCTGTTTGTTTTCAGCTTCTCCAAAATCATGCACCAAACCGTGAAGGAACTGTCACCAAAGTGTAATGTATCCTTCCTCCTGTCAGAAGATGGTAGCGGCAAGGGGGCCGCCCTCATCACAGCCGTGGGCGTGCGGCTCCGAGGAGAAACAAGCAGCTAAGAGTGCAGGAGCCCAGCCCACCACCCTTCTAGCACCTCTCTCCAAAAGCGACAACCCCCTATTCCTTCCAGCGAGCCATGCTGGGGACACCCCTGGCGCCAGAGCCCGCCACACTGCAGCAGGGAGGAAAAGAGAATCCAACTAATGGTGTATAACGTAGGGTTCAACATAGAGTGTGTGCTGTTGATAATCTCTCACCTGGACCCCTCACCTGCCCTGCCATTCTGCATGATTTGATTTCAGCCCGGTTGTGCGTTCCCCACATGTGAAGTGTAGTGACATCCATTTCTATCGCTGGTACCCATCAGCCGGGTTGTCTGTTGGCTCAGATGAAAAGTCACAGCACCAGACAGGCCTTTGGGGCCTCCAAAGCCCGTTCTTGGGGTCGCCTCCCCTGGGTGAAGTGTATTATCACCAGCAGACACTGCCGGACTCTGCTCCCCGGGGCGTGGCCTGCGGGGCGAGTATGGGCATAGCATCACTGCTTCCTCCTGTCCCAGCACCCACCTTGGCCTGGCATCCTGTCAGGGTGGCTCAGTGCCACTAAACCGTGTGTCCGTGGAACCAGTCCTAGCCACGTCGTGACAGTCTTGCAGTCTGTGTGTCTCGTGGGGGGAGGTGGGCAGTCCTGCGGGAAGGTGTCTTGTCTCCATTTGGGCAAAAGGAATCAACCCACAACAACGCGTCACTGGAATTCCCATCGCTTTTGTGAGCCATGTTGTATGACCTAGTAAACTTTGTACTGATTCAAGAACCCGAGTGATGCATCCTGGCTGCAGAGGGATTTTGGGATGTACTGAAAACCAGAAGTTGGGGATTTTTGTGGGTGTGGGGAAGTTTAAAATAAAGATTATGGCCGTCAGCCCCTAGCCTTGGTTGAGCATGAGAACTTTACCATCCCTGCAGTATCCCAGAAGCACACTCTCATCTGGTTTCCAGCACCTCTCCTGCCCACTCCTGTTCCAGCCCCAGCCTCCTGCAGTCCTCATGTGAGGGTCCGGAAGGAAGGGACAGAGCTAGAGGCCTCTGTCCTCTGTACTTGCCAGAGCGCAGGAAAAGGGCGGCAGCCTCCAGGGACTGCTTGGTTTACTAAGGGGACTGCAGCACTGGTCCTTTGGCCACCCCCAGCAAGCGGATGTGGCCTCACCTCCCTCCCTGCTGCACAGGACAGCCAGTAACTATGCCCCTGCTCCCACAAGCAAGTGTGGAGGTGGCCCCAGGGTGGGGTTGCTGTTCTGTCCCCTCCCCGTCTTAATAGTCTGACTCTCATCCCACCCCTCAGGCTGTTCCAACCCAAGGCTGCCATTCTGGGTTCTTCCCCTGGAGCCCTGTAGTGGCTTTCAGATTGGTGCATCCGGGTACCCTGCAGTGTCCCAGCCTCAGTGGCAGGTCTGAGTGGCTCCCCAGCACTGACTGCATCCCCACTCAGCTTGGCAGGATCAGAGTCTTTATTGGGGGCATCAGTAGTGCCAGTGTCTAGCACAGTGACCTCTGGGGAGAACACAGATGACACTGACCTGTGGGTGTGCATTTACAGTGGCACACGGTTCTGTAGGGGCCCTGGATGTGCGTGTGGGGAGAGCTGTGCCCTGACTGGACTGGGCCAAGCCTGGAGCACTGTAGGAGCTGGACAGTTCTCTGCCTGCTGGCTTCTTGCTGCCCAGTTGAGGTGGGAGCTGTGTTGCTGGCTGGCAGAGTAAAGATGAATGTGGCTATGGTTTGTGGAATGCAGTCTGTGTGGCCTGCTCACTTACAGGCATCAGTTCCATGATCCTCAGAGCTGCCCTGAGTTAGCCTTGTCACTGGGCAGAAGAGGCTGGGGGTCAGACTGACCTGCCCGAGGCACAGCTGAGGTTTCCTTTGACTCATCCACATCTACTCAGGGTGGCTTCTGGCCTCTTAGATTCTGGGCAGAGAAACACCAGGCTGTCTTGTAGCGGGTGGGCTTTGCAAAGTAAGGCTGCTCTTTCCTTGTGCGGCCTTATAATGAATCAGTGTCGTGTCTGTGTGCTGCCCACAGACATTTCTGTGAGCCAAAATTAACAAGTCTAAAGCCAGGCGTGGTGGTACATGCCTGTAATCCCAGCACTCAGGAGGCTGAGGCAGGAGGATCAGTGTGAGTTTGAGGCTAGCTTGAGCTACAAAGTGAATTCAAGGCCAGCCTGAACTGCATAGTGAGACCCTGTCTCAAAAAGACAGGGAAAAAAAAAAAAAAAAAAAAGGCCAAACTTGGCAAATCTGGAAGGCTCACAAGCACATTTGGACTTCCAAGCTTTTCTTGGAAGATCCGGCAACAGTGGGCCCTCGTTGTAGAACACATCCCATACATTACCGCAGCTGTGCCGTACTAAGCAGCCGCAGTCTCCTATGAGTGCCTGTCACAGTCACTACCTTTCCCTGTCACCCCAACTCTGAGCTTGGAAGTCTGTTGCTTTTTACCATCTCATTTGCAGTTTTTCTTTTTAACTGGATCTAATTTACACATTACACTGTATACCCAGGAAGACATTTGAGCTTGTGGTTCCTGCACTGGGAAAGTGTTGGCTTCACAGTGTCTTTGCTGACTATCTTTGGATCCCAAAGCCCTCTGAGGTGGGTGGCTGAGTCCTCCTGGTGCTTGTATCTCCTGTAGAGTTCTGGGGCCAGCTTGCTTTCCATGGTGGATTAAATGGTGGGCATGGACAAACTTTCAGATCTGGCCTTCAACTGGCTGCCTCTCCAAGGATGCTAGGCCCCATTCTGCAACCAGGCACCAGACTTGAGAGTGCCACAGACTCCCCATCTTGGGGACCCCCAGCCTGCCCATTGGTAGCCTCAGAGGGGACCATGTCCCCAGCCGGGAACAAAATCTCCTTGGTGTGACACCTGTTGACCCTCAAGGAGAAGGATGGAGTGTGAGTCAGCTCCAGCTTATCTTCCTCAGTTGGTGTGACCCACGGGCAGCACTGGAAAGCCAGCCGGAACCCAGAGCGAAACCTGGGGGAGGAAGAGTCACCCAGAACCAGGGAGTTAGGGGTACAGGAGCCATAGTGTGATCACTCAGCCCCAGACACCATCTCCCCTCCAGAGGAAAGCAGCTGCGCACTCCCAAGAGCCACCACTGCCTCTGAGAGATGCATTCCTTCATGGATTGGATTTCTGCAAACACCCAGAAGTATTCTAGAGTTTTGTTTGTGATTGAAGTGGGTGATTGAGCTGACCTTGGCTATTTGTTACTACAAACCAAAAGAACCCACCTAGGGGCTGGGAATTTAGCTCAGCGGCAAAGCGCCTGCCTGGCAAGCGCAAGGTTGTGAGTTCGGTTCCCAGTACTGGAGAAAAACCAAAAAAAAAAAAAAAAAAAGAACCCACCTAGAGTTGCAGAGGAACAGCAGATTTTTTCCCATTTGACTTGTCAGCTGGCTTCTAAAGAAATATTCAAAAGGGAGTCTTTTTAAAAAAAAAAAAAATGGAGCTAAGAGATGCTCTGCCAAGGGACTGCTGAAGGTCTGGGTGTTGACTGGAGTGGAGAGGGAGAGGCGGTGAGTGGGAGGAAGGGATTGGCACAGGGAAGATGGGCTGCTCGGAGACAGAGTGAGAAGAATAATGAGACCATGAGTGAATCGGAGAGGGCAGAACTGCACTGTCACCACCTGGGCTGCAGGGTTCCATGTCTCAAAAGAGCCACCTGCCATGGGGCTGGGGATTTAGCTCAGCGGCACAGCGCCTGCCTGGCAAGCACGAGGTCGTGAGTTCGGTTCCCGGTACAGGAAAACAAACAAACAAACAAAAAAACCCAAAAAACAAAAAAAAGAGCCACCTGCCGAATGGCTCTACAGGACCCCACGGTGTGGCCTCAGAGTCCATCAAACCTCACGTGGCCTCTGCCCCATATCCATGTGCGCCCACCCAAGCTCCCAGTCACCCTCCAGACCTCAGCACCTGACAGTGCCATCCTTCCTGCCACCCAGCCCAACAGCCCTGGAGTTACCTCTGCTGCTTGCACATGTCCCCTCCTTTCTGTCAATGTGGTTGCCAAGGTTTTAGCCATGTCCGGACCCGGACTACAACCCGGCGAGTGGAAACCACCTTTCCCCGGAGCCATCACTGGGCCTCTGTCTGTGCCCTATCGGAGCTTCTGTCTCCCTGCTCAGAGCCCACATCCTTACCCCGACCACGGGGCCGTCACTTGGCTGCCCCTTCACCTTTTCCCTCAGCTTGGAACTCCTGCCCCGGCTACAGGGCTGACTCAGTCACTTGTGCCTTTGCTCAGATATAAAGCTTTGCCCCTTTGCTCATTATCGAGGGCTCTCAGCACTTCCTGTCATCCTTTACCTCTCTAGTTTTCCTGTCTCCATGGTGCTGTTGTTTAGTGCACCATGGGCTCCACTTACTCCACGTTTGTTAATTGTTATCTCCTGCACCATCAGGTCAGCTCTCTGAAGAAAGGAGTCTTTTTGTTCCCTGTTGGTTCCTGTGGGCCTGGGACAGTGCCAGACACACATTGCCACTCAGTGAGCACCTTCTCAATGAATGGAGAGTCCTACCACAGCCCCAGACCTCTGTGACTGCCAGTGTCATCACGAGTGAACGATTCAGAGGTGACTGCAGGACCATGCGGAGCCCAGGGGTGCTGGTGTTGTTCACACCCCGGGGTGCTGTGTGGTGCGGTAGCATGGTGTGTGGGTGGCCCCTCCCTGATGTGACCCCCCACCCCACGTTGTCACTCCCCCAATCTCGTGAGAAATGTGTATGGGGACAGGATGACAGGCCATACTGTATGCGAATTCCTAGCTCTGTCCTTCACGTAGGAGCTTAGGAGAGTTCTTTCTCAGGCTGTTTCCTCAACTTTCTCCAGGGGCTGCCCAAATGCTTTCTAATGGGTTGGGCCCCCAGGAAGCACTCCAAGAATCAGTTCCCTCGCTTCCTGCTTGCCTGCCTCAGGCGAGTGATAGCTGATCACCAAAGATCCTGGTGGCATTATAAGCAGCCTGGGCACTTGGGCAGGCTTGCCCCTCCTCTTACCCACCCTACCCTGAGGTTCCCCAGGCTGAGCACAACTCCCCAGGCTGAGGCTCCTGCTCACCAGCTGCCCCCCTTCAAGCCCCCAAAGCAGATGCCAACTGCCCTCAGGCTCCACTTCCCCAGGAACACCAGTGGGGAAAAGCAGCTGGGGAGCGAGACCCCAGTCCCCGCTCCCAGGCCATCTCTGCCGAGGTCACTGCCCAGCTGCGCTGGAGGGGAGGAAATGCACTGTGAGCCCTGTCCTGCCCCCAGCCTCCCCTTGAGTGCTTCACGTGCCAGGCTGCTGCTTACCTGCCCCCGGCAAGTCCTCAGGAGGAAGCCTAAACATCAGGATAGAAGCAGCCAAGCCCTTTGACCTGATTCTTTTCCCTCCCACTCTCCTCTGTCTTTCTCTACTCCCCGCTTCCCTCCATCTCTCTGGTCCTGCCTTCTCTTCATTGCAGATGTACACCCCAGAAGAGACAGCAGGGACATGGAGCAATGGGAGCCCATGTGGGGCCTGTCTGGGTACTGGGGGGCAGGGGAGCTGGGTGGGTTCACCTTCGGTTGAGGCAGCAGTAGATGATGGGGTTGTACATGGTAGAGCTCATAGCCAACCAGAAGAGCGCCAGGTAAACCTGCTGGATGAACTTGTGGCAGTAGATGTCCTCCTGGAAGCTGCCCAGGATGAAGTAGAGGTGGTACGGCAGCCAGCAGACGGCAAATGTCACCACCACCAGCACCATGGTCTTCACAAACTGCTCCAGGAGAGTCTCTGGTCATATCTCAGCCCCTGAGGCCAAGCCCCACCCTTCCAGGGCACATGCTGCCCACATGCTCTGGAGCCCCCACCTCAGGTCCTTTGCACAGGCCCGTCCCTCTGCTCACTCCGCTGTCCTTCCTTGAGATCCTTACTCCTAGGAGCCCAGCTGAGTGGCCCCCTCCTCCCAGGTCCCTCTCCTCAGAACAGCTTTACTCCCTGGAGAGTAGATAAGCTCTCACGCCTGACCCTACCCTGAGGAGCTCCTGTCCCAGCTGCGGGGTCCCAGGCTGCACTGTGGCTGGGATCTGTATCTACTATAGCCCTTCCATCTATGGGCACTGAGGTCCAAACAGGGACCCGAGCCTCCTCCCAGAGGTCAAGTCCCTGACCTGCAGATGCCCAGCCTCAAATGCTGGGCCTCTACAGGCACAACCTGTAGTGCCCAGCACCCCAGGAGGGATGAAGGCAAGCTCGGATGGCACATGGGGAGCAGCGCTCCAGGAGGAGGGACACCCTGAAGGGGTCTGATGCCCAGTGGCCTCCCTGAACAGCCCTGTAAAGTCTCCTACTATTGGCAAAGGCCATGACTTTGACCTGGCTACACACGTCGATTCACTCAGTGCCTCCTCCCTTGCCTGGCATTAAAGGGGTGCTGCCTTTCTTGGGGGAGAGCAGAGGAGGTCTGGATCATAGAATGCTATAAACAGCACCCTTTAGGGGCGCTGGATGACGAGAAGAGGGGGGATATTAGCACGTTCCACAGAAATCTGGGACAGACTTGAAGAATCCAGACTGTAAACCGGTCTCCAAGTCTCTAAAGTCAGTCATTCCATTACTGGGGGGTGCTCTGAGATTCTATCCAGCCGAACTCCTGCAGGCACTCTTAAGGGGCTTCTAAAATTCAACATTTCAATTATTCAAAATTCTACTATTTTAATATACTGTCATTCTAAGATACTTTAACTTTGTATTTGCCCTCAAGCCGAAGAAGATCCACCTGCTGGGGAGGAAGGAATTCAGGCTCTGGGGCCTGGGCTTGGCACAGGGGCAAATTATAGGCCAATGCCGTGCTTCCAGGCCCCGCCTTACACTCGGGCCCCGCCCCCACCCCAGTTTGTGCCCCGCCCCCCCTTCCCCTGCCTCGGCCCCGCTTTGCCTGGCCTCACCTTTTTCTTGGCCTGCAGGTGGCGCAGGTTGGCGCCGTGCACTTGGTGTCTGGGGACTGCGCGCCGCCACAGCGTGAGGCCGATGATGCTGTAGGCCACGAACATCACAGTGAGCGGTAGGAGGTAGATGAGGACGATCACCACCAGGTGGTACCTGGAGAGACAGCCAGGGGCCTGGGCAGCGTGCACACGGGCGACTCCGACATCTGAGACTGGAGCAGGACCCGCAGCTTCTGCCCAGCAGCCCCATCCCGGTCTACCTACAGGGGCCTTGGTTTGATTTAAAGAAAAGTAAATGAATGGGGCGTGGTGGCAGGAGGATTGTCAAGTTTAAGCCCAGCCTAGGAAATTTAGGGATTTAGCAAAACCTTGTCAAAAGAAGAAGGGGAAGGGAAAGGGAAAGGGAGCTAAGCTAGAAAGACCTCAAAAATAAAGCAGGCCACCCATCTCCGTGTCCAGGGCGCGGGCTGAGGCCCAGAGAGAGGCAGGAAGTCTGTGCACAGGAAACAACTTTCCACGCTGAGGACCCACACAACCTCCCTTTCAGAAGAATGGGGCTCTTGTCCAGCCTCTAATTTAAAGTGTGATCATGGACAAGGCGGGTTTCTCCCTCAGCCTTAGTTTCCCCATCTATAAAAGAAGGAAGTAATCTCAACCCTTTCCAAGAGTGAGCAGCATTTTATTCTTTCCTGGGGATGCTGAAGCTGGGAATGCACACTGGGGCCGGTGTCTGCACAGCAGAGAGAGCTGCGGAGTGTTGAGGATCACCCTCTAGAATCTGCCAGTCAGGGAGGCCTCTCCTCAAGTGGGGCCTGTGCTTTTTGTATTTGTATTTGGGGGGTAAATATGTATTTTCTTGGAGGGGGGCAACCGTCATTTCCTGATCCCCTCCCAGAATGGCTTTCCTAGCCTACCCTGGCCCTTCATTTTCCCTTTGCCTGAGGCAGGGATGCAGTTCAACCCCCAGACGGTGGTGGGTCCTGGATAACCTGAGTGCTTCCTGGTGCTCCTCCCAGGGAGAAACCCCATATGAAGGTGGAGAAACACTGTTCCCCCTACTGTCCAGGGGGCCAGGTCCAAAATGTTCTGCTCACCGCCTGGCTCTGAGCCAGAAAGGGCTCCGGGCTCCTTCCCTTCTCTTGACCCCACCCTGGTATACAGAGTGGAAGCGGGGACACTGGGCAGAGCATGTCATCAGGACTTGTCCTTCCCTGGAATAGGCTGCTCAGCAGATGGTCATTTCCCCAGCACAGAGTGGGAGCGCAAGGGTGCCCTCACTGCGCAGTGCTCGGACCCATGGGGCCCGGGTAGGGGTGCCTGTTGGGGAAGGTGTACTAACCGAGGTGGTGTCACAGTTACCTGGAAGCCATTGGCTAAGATCATGCACATCCTCAGGCTTGGGGCAGCCGGGGCTTTGTTGGACTAAAAATGGCACCTCCAGGTTTATTTTCTTTGTCCCCTCTTTGCTGCACACTGGGCATTCGTTCTGTGTCAGGCGCAGCACAAAGGGCTTGTGTACCTAAGGTCATTATCACAAATTCTCCCACTTTGGAGAGAAAGAGCCAAAGGCTCGGAGAGACTGGCTATAAGGCGCTCCAGCTGAGAGGGACAGGCTAAAATGTGGACTGGCTGCCGACTCCAAAATCTCAGTTGATTTCTTTCTTTCTTTCTTTCTTTCTTTCTTTCTTTCTTTCTTTCTTTCTTTCAGTTGTGGGGATTGAACCTAGAGCCTTTACACTGAGATACATTTCCAGCCCTTTTTTATTTTCTATTTTTGATACGGGATTTTGCCAGGTTGTTAAGTTGCCCAGTCTGGGATTGAACTGGTGATCCTCTTGCCTCAGCCTCCTAGAGTGCTGGAGTTACAGGCATGTACCACCATGCCTGGCCTCAGTCAACTCTTTATCCTCCACTAATCAAGGGTGCAATGTTTGGGGATCCCAAAGCCACACTGTGAGAGCCTCAGAAACAGGCCCAGAGTGGAGAAAGGACACCACCAGGTCACACAGCAGCTGGGGCCTGTTAAGGTCTCCTTCTGCTCTCTCCCAGCCTATGGTTCCCACCTCAGCCGGAAGCAGGCCCATGCTCCATACTCTGCCTTTGTGCCAGGATCTCCTGAGGCTTTGTGGGCTAAGCTTACACAGAGCCCTCCTACACACACATTCGCTAACACACGCCTGTGTGCACACATCTGCAACACACCCATGCACCCACACAGGAGTGGGAGCAGCATGCGAGTGTGATGGGGAGACCTGTGCCACTCCATGCACATCAGACTCAGTCCGTGATCAGGCCCCGCATCCTTAGAGGCCAGAGCAGTGGGGAGGCTGGCTTGGAGGCAGGGCTGCCCACCTTGAGTCCTTGCTTTGCCACTTCCTAGTTGTAGGTACAATCCTTAATTTTTCGGTGCCTCAGTTTCCCCATCCCCAGATAGAATCATTGTAATAATATATGCTGGGTGATGCTAAGGATAAATGGGTTCACATATGTAAAGCGCTTAAAGAGGCGTGGCACTTAGTGTTGCTTTTAGTATACAAGGTTCCAGACTTAAGATGTCCTTGTTCAATGATTTTCCGACTTTCTGACGGAACAAAAGCAACGTGTATTCAGTAGAAAGTGTACTTTGAGTTTTGAATTTGGATTTTTTCCCAGGCTGGTGATATGTGGTCTGATCTGATGGTTGAATCTGGGCGTGACCCTGTAGTTAGCCGAGGAGCCTCAGCAGAAATGTGTGCTCATTTAATTACCCCGTGAGCTCCCACACACATGTAGATACTAATGCATGCACACGAGCACGGGCAACCCCGGGCCCAGGCCTTACAGAAGCAGCGACTTGCCCCCACTGTCTTCAGGCCAGGCCACCACGCACTTGGTGGCGCCCTCATCCTCCGTGATGGTGGAGTAGAAGCACTGGGGGAAGGCGAGGGCCAGGGCTACCAGCCAGATGCCGCCGATTACCGCCTTGGTGCTGGGGGCTGAGAGCCGTGGCTGGAAAGGGTGGACGATGGCCATGTACCTGTGGGCGGAGCTCCATGTGAGTAGTGGGAGCCCTCCCATACGACTGCCCCTCCCCCCACCACACCCCAGCTTCTGTCCACGTTGCTGCTGCCAGTGTCTGGAGTAGCAAATGACCTGCAGAGAGCCCGAGGGGCTGCTGACCCTCCCTAGCCTTGCAGCACACTAGCGCACTAGAACCCAGCCCTCTGGCCCTCTGGGCATGGAATGCCTGATAACTGTGTGTCCCCACTGAAGGCCAGTCTAAGGCAGGCCCAGGTGATGTCAGCCTGCAGCTCAGCCTGGTCTGAGCCCTGCCCTATGCCAGGCCTCCTTCACCAGAAACTTCAGCGTGGTTTTTCCGCCTCCTGGACAAAGCCTGGACCAGCGCTGCCCGCTAGAACTCTCAGCAGTGGTGGGAACGTTCTACATATGGGCCGTCCTGCTTGGTGCTAACGCAATGCAGAGCAGAGCTCTGGGAGCAGGGCGTTATATTGTCATCGGTGTGAATTTAAATAGGCACATGTTGGACAGCACAGGCCCAGACTTTTGAACTCAGCATTCAAGGCCCTCTGTGTGCGGCCAGTGCATTTTCCAGCCTCTGTCACTGCTTCCCCTCCCTGCCCAGGATCACTGTGCTCAGGGAATAGCTCAGAATGGCCCTCCGATCGGTGTGGCTCTGCCTCCCCTCTCAGCCTGGAGCTCCTCCTTCTTTCTGTGTTGATCAAAGTCCATGCGAGACGCCTTCTCCTGGGGAAGTCAGCCACAACAGGCCCATCCTGCTCTCCTGTCTCTGTGGATGTAAGGGTGTGAGCCACGCTTTGGCAGCCCTGGGGCCTCATGGTCTTAGGCAGGGGCTGTTGCATCCATCTTTCACATCAGGAGACAGAGGCGAGGAAGGAGCAGGGCTGGCTTTGAACCCTCCTGGTCTGGGTGGCGCCCCCTGGCTTTCCAGCACCCTCACAGCCCGTGGGCCTGAGCTTGTGCAGTGTCTGGGGCCTGTGTGGCTAAGGGCCCATAGGTCTAGAGCCCTGGCTGAGGAGGGCGAGCCGCTTGCTTCTCAAAGGTCAAAAGACCCAAAGGCTCCTGTGCACAAAGGACCCACCCAAAGAACGTGATGCATTCGGAAATACAGTTAGCAAAATATAAAATAAACTTGGGACATTGTAATGTCTGCACTTCTTTCTCATCCCACTACATAAGACCTAGCAGATCTGAAATCTGCAGTAATTTTGAAGTGGTGGTGCTATGTTGAGGTCTTGAGGGGGGAGCTGGGCTTTGAACCTGGGCGTTGAACATGCTAGGCAAGCACTCTATCACTCAGCTACATCTTCAGCCCTTTTTATTTTGAGATAGGGTCTACCTAAGTTCCCCAGACGAACCTCAAATTTATGACCTTCCTGCCTCAGCCTCCTGAATGCTGGGATTACAGGTGTGTGCCACCACAATTGTGTGCATCCAGCTCACAATTTCTGCAACAACACAAGTACCTGTGATTTCTATTGGTGCTAAAAGCCCCAGGCATTGCTTGCATTGTGGCAAATTGCTTTGATGTCTACATTTGAAATTGTGACTTTCTTTTCTTTCTTTCTTTTTTTTTTTTTTTTTGGTATTGGGAATCAAACTCAGGACCTTGTGCCTGCCAGGCAGGCACTTGTACCACTGAGCTATATCCCTGGCGCATGGAATTGTGACTTTCTTGTCCCTACAAAAGTTCATGAGCTCTCTGGTTCCTCCCCACAGTCCATGACCACAGGGTAAGGACATCTGGACCACAGGATTGTGACACTGTCTCTGTGACACTGTTGTCCTCCTATGCCTGTGGATGACACCCTGGGCCCATAAAATCCTGCAGGGTCATAGGAAATGAGGGTCACCCGGGGACCCAGGCTCCCCGCTGTTCTGGGATGTGGGTGGGAAGGACAGAGTACACATCCTGTCAGCGCCACATCCTGGGACTGTGGATCCAGGCTGATCCCGACTGACTTCTAGCTCCAGTGCTTTCTAGCAGCAGGGGCTAGAGCAGCCTTAGCTTTTTGGACTTCCATTTCTGCCCCTGGGACTGGTCCTAGGAGTTCTTGCTGTAAGGCTGTTGGTGAAGGAGGCAAGAGCTCCAGAAGTGCACCCAGGAGCCTGAGCTGGGGGTTGGAGAGCATGGTGATTCCTATTTATTCACTTTTTTCCATCACTAGAAATGGCTTCTGGACCACATGACCTTCCTCCCGGATTAATCTAGGCCATGGGAAAAAGCCAAGAACGTGGCCTTGCATTTTATGCAGCCCCTGCGGAACAGGAACGTTCACAGTAGAGTGGCGTCTTCGGTATTACGTGGACGCTGACTCTGCCCAGCAAGCATTTCCATCTCGCCTGCTGCATGGGTGTTCATCCAGGCATG